TCGTCGTGGCGTGAACTTCGGATTCGGAAATACTCCGCTCTTCTTTTTCTTGAACTCCCTCAATAGAGGGTTGATGCGGCTCCAAAGTCTCTTATAGTAGTCGGAAGCTTATCACATTTTTTATGTAGATTAATCTTGATTCAATTTCTTCTATATCTTTTCCCAGTTCTACACTGAGAAAAAAAGTTACTGTTTCAAAATATATTGGCTGCATTTAGCAAAGAAAACTATTAACCTTAGTGATTCTTTAACGATTAGTTCCTACGTTTAGATTCAGCGAAGAACTAAAGGCAAGAATCAATAATATTGAAGAATCACTAAACGCTATAACTGATCAGCACTGAATGTCACAGAAAAACAGTTTTCCATGCTGAACGCAGACATTAATTGAGTCAACTAAATGTAGCGGTTACGGGCTGTCAATGTGAAGCAAATATTTGTTAATTCAAACAAGTAATATGTTTTAAATTGCAAGATTTTGTTTACCTGCAAAATCTAAACGGATAAATACTTGAATCAAATAATCACTACAAATCAAACGCATTTAGTAAAATTAACAACTTTTTTCTCAGTGTAATAATTAGGAAAAGATGAAGCATAGAGTGAACCGATATTAAAGGCAATCTTATACTGGTGAAATCGGGCCTAAGAGTGATATTTTACTTTTCAAAGTGAAATTCACTTTAAGTTTTAGAAACTAGTCCGCGAGGCGCGAATTCTGTAAGGGCGGGATGAAAAAAGGATTTAAGGTGTTTTTACAGTAAAGTGTCGGTCTCAATACCCAAAATATATCTGCATATAATTTGAGTAAAATATTAAAACTACGTGTATACTTTAATGAAATTGTATCAAATAAACGACATTTAGTATACAAAATGAAATAAAAAAAAGTTGATTTCTTGTACAATTTGTTCTTGGTGAAAATTCACTAGTGATTCATTCATTTCAACATCAAATATCTCTCGAAAATGGTCGATAACCTATTATTTTTTGTGACCATTACAATCGTTTTTTTTAACTATTTTAATCTCGTTTCTTAAAGAAATCCATTATGGTAATGTTTGTGTGCAGTTAGTCAAAGAAGCATTCCCCGACTCTTATCTGTCACTAGATTGTACGTTAAAAGTTACATTTTCAGCATTTTTTGTTTCATTTCATCAATAATCTACCTTAGAATGTTACATACGTTTGATACTTCAACTTTATTATGTATTAAAAAATTAGATATTTCTACACGCAGAAAAATATTGCTAAGAAAAAATGTTTACTCAATTTACTTTCTTTCTTTTAAGTAACAGTTATATCTTTAATAAAGAATATTTTTTGATAATGATATGCTTATTACAAAATTTATTTAAAAAACACATTATTATATGTACTTAAACTTAAGAATTTGTTTTCTTTTCATAAATTTTATAAAATCGATCGGAGAAACTCTCTCTTCATAATAAATCACAAATTTGTTTTAATTTAATAAACTTGATTGAAGTACTCGTATTAAACTTACTTTAGGATTCAAAATATATTTTGAATAAATTTTTAATACTTGTGATGAACTTATGATAGACTTGCGGAAGTATAAACTTTTGAAACAAGTATAAGTATTATTTGTGTATATGGTAACTCGATTTACTGTAGAATCACCTTAAAGAACGCGTTATTGTCGATCGATCGGGGACGGTCGCGCACCTTTAATTCGCGCGCTGACCTTTCCATCGAGGGCATGACCGTTGCCCGCGTTTTCACACAAGTCTGTTTTTCTTCTCCGTTGTCTTTCGCATTGAGCCGCGTATAATCAGCCGGAACTTATCAGTGCTTGCGACGTGCTCGCCCTTATCAGTGTTGCACGACCGAATCGATTCGAAGAGCGAAAAGTGATCATCGTGGGATATTCACGGTTGACGGTCAAATATCGGTAACCATTGCTCGACACTCGTGCGAAAATACAATCACTGTCAATGTCAATAACGGTGGTGCCATTTTTCAAGGTGAAATAAGTTTTCCGTAGAGAGAGAATCACGGGTATCTCGTGTAGTTCAAATGTAAAAATAATTTTGTTGAGTTATTAAAATAATTATGTACACTGAAAAAAATTTCTGGTTGAAAAGGACGAACCAAAAAATTTTGATCATTATCAATATGATCAAAATTCTTATTATCTTAATTAGAACCATAACAGATTCAGAAAATTATGATTCGTCTATTTTTAACTAGAATTCTAATTAATGTAATTAAATTCTTTCCAGTGTAGGAAATTCAAGTAATACTGCAAAAGAAGTTTTGATATTTTAGCAACTTGCTCGAAGGTTTTACATAATTACTTTGTTTTACTGATAACTTGATAAGTATTGAAGGGGAGTCAAATCGAGGTCAAAACTTATTGTATGTATAATACTTCGTATATAATTATATGCGAATATACACAATAATTCACGCGTCGTTAATTGCGTTGCTCTCTACGGTCTTTTTCTCTTTTAATACTTTATAACTATTTTAGTGCAACAAAATTATTTTCAGATCTGGCTAAATTTTAGGTACTTTAGAAAAACCATTTTTTCCGTATATTACAAAGTAATGACGAGGTGATCCGAGAATGTATTTTAAAATTCGTAGAATGCGATTAAATAAAAATGTATATCGGGGGCATTTTGATAGATAAATAGCGACCGATATGACACAGAATAAATATTAATACTTTATATATGAATCATATGATTTTAATCTTTTGATGACAGATTTATTTACAATTATAAATATAAGATAGATCACAAACGTGTATTCAAAGTTACTCTCTCACGATATTTATCGATTATATTAATTTATGTGACAAGTTTATAATGCGTATAACACGTAAATGCATAAGTTTACATGGAAATAACGGTTTTGCTGAGGTATTTAAAAATTAAGCCAGTTACATATCTGAAAATTATTATGTTGGACTATCAAAATAATTATGTGGAACGCACAAGTATATGATAATAATGTTGCAAAAGTTTTTACATTCTACACAACCAGTTTGAACGTTCAGTATAATGATTTCAATGGTTCAACATTTTCAGATCTTTATTTGACTGAATTTTTAGAAACTTCAGCAAAATTGTTCTTTCCATGTATAAGAATTACGTGAATTAAGTATTGAGAAAAACGATTTGCATGAGAAAGTAGCTCGCGTATATGCACATGATGCCAGGAGATCTCCGTTGCGTATCGGTCCGAAGTAAAATCGTCTATAAATCGCATAGAAATCGGAGCGGCGAAGATCGTGCGCGGACGTGTGAAAATGGACCACTCGCTTCTACATGACAGTAGCGGTCGACGGCGCGGCGGCGGTGCAGCGTAGCGCGACGTAGCCGGGCATCGGCATGCACCTCTTATACCTACCTAACCGCGTAGCAACCTACGAACCGAGGAGGAACTCGGGACCATCTCTTTCACCTCTCAAAACGGCGCCGTAGGGGGAGATCGGCAGGAGATCGAGCGGCGGGACCGGGGGGCGAGGGTGAGGAGTTTCTCCCCGGCAGGTGGGGACGGGCCGGCAAATGCTCCAGTTTACATTTTTATCCCGCGCCCCTGCGCTTAGTTCTTCGAACACTTCGGATCGCGCAATCCGTCTCTCCTCTCGCCTCGCGCGCGTCGGGATGCGACCGCGAGAGAAGAGCCGAGGGATCGGTATCGATTGTCGAGGACGGTGCGCACTTTCCCGCGAGCGACAGCGATGAGTGACAGCGTTGGTCGTGTAAATTATTATCTCACGTATCTCATTTAAAATTTATTTCAGTGGTAAATTAAAATATTTTGTAGAATTCCATTCTTGGTTCGTTTGCTCTTGCGTTGCGTTTTATTCTAAAACAGTCCCTACATTGCAAATCCAAGTGTATAAAAAGTGACTTTATTAGTTTTCTGTGTAAAAATAACATACTATACTGTATACAAAAAAAGAAATTTAAACCTCTAGTATAATGTTACTTTTTATTTGGATTTGTAGACACTTAATATTAATGTATAATTATTTTGGTAATATTGGGGTAAGGTGGTACATGGTATGGTGGTATAATAATTCTGAACAAAATAAGATTTGAATTCAATTTGCGAAGTTCGAGTTTGTGGTTTCTTTTAGTATTCTGTGCATAATGAAATCAAATTCGAATCTCGAATTTGGATTCAAATTTTATTTCGTTCAAAATTATACCATCTTTTTTTATTAAACCTGAGATACAATTGAAAAGCACAGGTAATATAGGAAATATTGTATCAAATTTTAACCTATTAAAAATCGAGTCATATATCAGTTTGTTTTTTTTATTCTCCATTAGATTGCATTAGAACTTTCTTGCTTTCGTCAAATATCAAACATATACCTATTTTATTTTAAAAATGTTTACTAGTTCAGCACAGAAAGCAGTGTATACCATAATATACGATTTCTGTAGGTTGAAATCTGTTATTCTCTGTTCCTATTAACTATGCTTTTCAATTGTCTTCATTGTCAATAGGCTTCATAGATGTCCTCTCTAAACAATTCAAAACAAATAATTTGAACACTCAATACATAAGCTGGATCAAGAAGATATTGTGTAATATCAAACATTGTGCAATAATATTGATCGTTTAAGGGTTCAACATTGCATCTCGACGAAAACAGTATTTAGAATCTGCTGAAAGGTCGCCGACTTCTTTCATGCGGCATTTAATTTTCAATCTTTAATTCGATTTGGCTGTAATGCGTTTTATAACGCTGCGGTGCACCGCGTTTCACGAGCGTTCGAATAGTGTTGGAATCGGCGATTCGAGGATCGCAATATCCGGCTGAAAATCATTAATGCTAGTTTAACACACATCGAAAAGGAGAATCCCGACGGTTCACGCTCTCGGTTCGTAATAGCGCTCTCTCGGAACGGTAATGCGCCGTGTATTATTGTGCGATCAGCGCGGAAATATCTGAGTTACGTTCTACGCTGTTCTACGCGTTCGTCTAACGGAGGCGCCGATCCGTTTTACAGAGAGAAATGGACAGGGACCATAGGGAGCAACGCGATCACGATAATCTGAGCGAGAAGGAACCGGACAGCAAAGTTGGAATGGCTTTCTGCAGCCTCTCCCACCATCGCGATCGTACGCCGGATGCCGATGCAGAGGTTCATTGCTTGTCATAACATTTCCCCTTCAATGATTACGCGGCGTGTGTATAAGAAAATAACAATCGGCATTTATCGAGAAATTAATAATTAATGTAATTATCATACAAACTGTTTATTATTTTCACGATAATTATATCATTCCACGAAAAATGCTGAAAGACATTGAGTTATTAATCATTCTGAAGATAATGAAAAATTAATGATTTTCAAATTATTTCTACGATAACCATTCATTTTTAATCAATAAACCAATAAGCCGGTTGTTGTTTCTTTTAGCATTATTAATGGAAATAGATTAAATTAATGGAAGTAATGATTTTTTTATAAAAGCCAGTTTTGAAATTCTTGTCCTGTTGCAGAGAGACATGGACATCGATCCAGCTGATCACATCGAGAACTTGCACGACGACAAGTCCGAGAAATTAGGGAGGAATTTTCATAATATAGGACATCATCCAGCCATGGTAAATATATTAATCCGGAGTTGACAACTTTTTGTAACATTGATTTAATTAAATTTCGAATTTTTTGCAGAGAGATGTAGATAGGGATCAAAATAATCATGTTGATATGCATGACGACAAGATGGACCTCAAGATAGGAAGAGACTTTCGTAATCTCGGCCATCATCCTGGAATGGTTCATTTGCATTCTGGCATGGAACATTTGACTAATGTTGATGTTGAGGTAAATATCCGTTATCGCACATTACATTGATTTCTTAAATGTTCATCTTCACTCGAATAATATTTTAACATTTTTATACAGGTGAAATTAGCGAGGGACGTTCGCGGCTCATTAGGCTTAGGACTGTCCTTAGAACTTTGTGTAGTTTGTGGAGACAGAGCTAGTGGTAGGCATTATGGAGCGATCAGCTGTGAGGGTTGCAAAGGTTTTTTTAAGCGCAGCATTCGCAAGCAGCTGGGCTACCAGTGTAGAGGAAGCAAAAGTTGCGAAGTTACCAAACATCACAGAAATCGTTGTCAGTATTGTAGACTTCAAAAGTGCTTGGCGATGGGCATGAGAAGCGACTGTAAGTGATTAATTTCCATATTCTTTTTATTGGATATCCTTTTCTAATTGTTAACAGTATTACGCCCTTTTCCTTTCACTTTTTAACTCTTTAATTAAGCTCTTATAACTAAGTTATATCGCTGTATTAATATAAAAAACGATACATTTCAAAATTAACAATTTTTCAACAAACTATTTTTTAAAGTCTGAATTAGAACAGCTGGTTTAGTTAGGATAATGAATATGCACGACTTTATTTTCTTTCCGTGTCATATTTTCAATTATATATATCCTTTATAACTAGTTATAGGTTTTAAAGAATACATATAATTACAAATGTAACATGGAATGGAAGTGAAGTTATGCATATTCACTTAATGCATATTCATCTTAATTTATATATACATTTATTTATATACATGTATAAAAGATCGGGTGAAGGTCAAGATTGAATTTAGATGCTAACTATGAATTGACTGCTCCTACATAACGCCCCACACATCATCCTATATTCTCGTGTTATTGAACTTGTTTTCTGAAATACATAGTGAGAGATAATAAATGATAATAAATGATCTTACGATGTTGCAGCTGTACAACACGAGAGGAAACCAGTGTTGGGTGATTCGGCTGCGACAAAAGTTGGCAGCCGTAACCCTAGAGTAAAACCTGAACCGCAACAGCCTGTACCCGAGGCACTCCCGACTTGGGAGCAACCCGACAGTCCTAGCATGGAAGACCAAAGCAGCGATAGTGACGCTCTCAGTGATGCTTTGACCTTAGCTCGTGAGCGTTTACTTCTTTCTCATGCGTTAGCAGACAGTATGGCTAAAATCATTGGTGATGTAAGTTATGATTATTATCTCATTGTATAATCTCTCGGATACTCGTTAATGTATCGCGATATTTATTTGCAGAATGTTAATGGTTCGAGCGAACCGGAGGAAGAATGGACCGGCCAATTAATCTCTGAGCGAAACACGTTGTTTGAATTGAGGGCGCCTAGCCCAGCACCTGTGTATTTATCTATTCACTACATATGTGAAAGTGCAGCTAGATTATTATTTTTGTCTGTACATTGGGCACGAGGAATTCCAGCATTTCAAGCTTTGCCGTAAGTGTGATGTAATAGAAATAGTACGTCTACCTTTTGATCATATTGATGATAAAGTCGTTTAAGATAAACATTTTACGTTTTAGATCTGACGTTCAAACTACTTTAGTTCGAAGTTCCTGGGGACAATTGTTCACATTGGGTTTAGCACAATGTGCATATACCTTGTCACTTCCTAGTATTTTGACGTCAATAATTAATCACTTGCAAGCTAGTATCGCACAAGAGAAAGTCACTGCTGGTAAAGTAAAATGCGTTACGGAACATATATGGAGACTACAGGATTGTGTAAATTCTCTGCATAAGTTACAAGTGGATTCCGTCGAATACGCATATCTTAAGGCTTTAACGCTTTTTAGTGCTGGTAAGTGAATGTAAATGACAAACAATGAAGTTTTTACGTTTATCATGAATATTGGAATAAGACATTTATTATTATATTGTTTGTAATAAGGCTCAATAAGTTTTTTTAAAAATTAATATAAAGAAATAGGGCAATGAGCCAATAAATTCGTTAAAATCTTTTTATTATTATTTTTTAGATAATGTCTTGGCAGGCATCTGGCATAAGAAAGTTGAAGTCTTGCAGGAAGCAGCATGGACGGAGCTGCAGCAACGTGTAGGTTCCGATAGATTACCTCGTCTTCTGCTGAGGCTAGCACCTCTTCGCTCGATTAATCCTAGAGTTCTGGAAGATCTCTTTTTCTCTGGTCTCATTGGTCGAGTAAGCGTGGCTAGCGTCGTGCCTTATATCCTTACCATGCAAGATTATAAAACTGAACCAGAAAGTCATGCAGGGTGACGAATATTGTCAGTGCAATATAAATCGTGACCTAAAAGAGTGATATAAACGTAAATGTTGGATGCCTCGTTTTATACAACGAAAGCGTTCATTTAAACGCGAATGGTTGACATAATTTTTATGTTCGTATTTCCCTTTTTCTTTTCGAATATTTGCACAAGAATATAATGACGCAATTATGAGGCGCGCATAAATTTGAATTAATTATATATGTATTATTGTAATAATAATAATAATAATAATAGTAACTGTACATATATATCTATGTCTAGATATATGTACATACTTTTATGTTTAGATCATAGATATGTATTGTATATTACAACGCAGCATCTGATTGTTGATAATATTGATTGTGTGCCCAGCAATCCTTTATTTATTATACATATAGTAAATGAACATTATACAAAACTTTCCCAAAATGTAGCAACTTGACATTATGTTGAGTTACAATTTCAAGTAAGAGCTCAAATAACATTGCTCGTTGAAATGAACAACCTGTGAAGTGATAATCAGGGAATATTGAAATCACAATATTTATATATTATATGTATATATACATAATTATAATTAAAAATACAACATTATTGTTGCATTTTTAATTATTTATGTGACAAAATGCAATATCTTGAAAATGGGCTTCTCCAATCTGTGATATAATTTCACAGGAAAGTTTTGTATCGGCACATTACTTACACAAAACGTAGAAGGCAATATGATACGTTTAGGATGTATTATTAATAATTAAAATAATCTGTAAAAATGCTTAAGAAAGTATATTTGTATATTAACGAATTTACGCTATTGTATTTCGCGCGTTTAGACGTTATAACCGAAAAACGAAAATTTTGCTAATTTCACGCCTTAACTCTTAAATGACACTGGGGATCCAAAAGACCTCAAGGCTTTTTCAATCGTATATATTTTTATGATTTTTTATGAACTAATTTTTATTTTTTTTATATTTACAGTAAAATTTCACAACTGCTATTATATCTTTTGTTTAGAAACTTTGGGGAGTATGTAGAAAAATTTTCAAAGGAAAATATTGGAAACTCTAGGAGTAGCGTACATTTTTCTATGCTGAGATCCCTGTGTGGTATCTACATTTTTTTGACGTGTGTCATTTAAGGGTTAAATATGTTTGGTTACTGATAAAAAAATATGTATCGAATGTTTATCCCCTCCCCAAAAACTTACCAAGTTTTAGAGAGGGATATCTGGAAGTCTTTCCTCATTAGTTTATTCTACATGTATAAAGAAAAGACAAAACATTTGAAATGGTAAGAGTTTGAATATAATGCGAGTTAAAGTTAGAAAAATTTTTATTGTTGCTTATTTATCGAAATGTTGGAATAATAATGCACGATTCAGATTTTCTATAACATAAAAAGAGAAGTTATGACATATTTTTGCTTCCAATATACAAATCAAAGTTTTTGTGCACAAATTACCTGTTACTTGTTCGAAGTGGACAATAAAAGCATATTTTTTGTAAGAAAAAAGCGTAGATACTTAATATAGTTTAGACATTATATATATATATATATATATATATATAATTGTACATGAGTTACTTAATTAAAAATGTAAATTTCCTATTGTTAATATATTGTAATTATATATCGTAAAATTATAGTAAGATAATTACACATAAAGTACTTCATATATATTTTAATGGTTCTGGAGACGTATAAGATAATATTAGTATTTTTAAGTTATATTATACTTAATAGCCCTTTATCAATTAACAAATTAATAGAAAGCTGTCATACTATTTCAAAAATTCTTTAAAAAAAACTTAAAAAATTTAAAAGATATTTTTGAATACTTTTTAAGAAATTTTTAAGGATATTTTTTTTTATAATTAAATACTTTTTGCAAAAATTTATCAATTTGTAAAATATTTAAACAGCATAATCGATTTTTCAGTTGAAATCTTTTAACCCGTTGAAGTCACACTTCGTAAAAATAGCGTTACGGTCATATGGGGTGCACAGCACCCCAGGCGGAAATTGAGCTGCCATTCGGCTTCTATTTGATATATCGACTTGAAATTTGAACTGGGGTTAGTTTAAGGTCCCTTTTATGTAATCCAATGCATAGTTTATATTTATTTCATTTTTTAATGCTGAAATACATCGGAGAAAAAATTTTCGCAAAATTTGACCTTTTTTCACAAAAAAATTCATAAAAAATTTAATTTTTTAGCTAATGGAAAAAATCCGACGGAATTGTACTCTCAATATACTATACTTTAATGAAAAAAATAGTGTTGCTACAAACATTTCAAAAAGTATATTTATTTTGCAGTTCAAAGGTCGCTAAAACTCGTAAAATCTAATACGTAATTTGGAACATGTAAAATTAAGTAAAAATTGACTGGGAAATTTTTTTTTTTTTTTTTATTAGAAATTTTGCCTGGGGTGTGCTACACCCCAGGTGACCTCAACGGGTTAATATGATTATAGTCTGATAGGAATTAGACAATATTAATAGTGTCGGAGTTTAAAATTATCTGAAGAAGGTACTACTTTGCAATATTGATAATAACATTATTATTGTGATCTTTAAAACAATGTTTAAATAGTCAGATACGATTTAATTTTTGATATATTTATTGACGGGGTGATATTAATATTTTTACTAAATAATATAGATTCTCTGAAACTTGATTTGTCGTAGTTTGATAGTTTTTAAACTCGTGGATTATCTTCGGAGTTTAAATGCTTTTTGCGTTTTACCATAACATTTTGCTGTTAATACCTGTGTATTACTCGAATTGACAGTTCAAAAATCGCCGCAACAGCATTTAAATTTCGGAATGCACCTTAAAAAGTGACAATACGTTGACATATAATATTTTGCGAATGTATTACAAAAGAAATTGTACATATGAGTGTAAGAATGTGCCTACATAAGAAAGATATTTATACGGCCGTTAAGTATTTTGTAATTATTGTTATATACGTGACGGAATATAACTAAAAGATCAGAGATACCTGAAAATTCGTTGCAACGCAATTGCGCTAAATGAAGAACGATATGTATATATACTTAACGAACATGTATGTATTTAAACGTGTCGCGAAATAACATATATTTACGATATGAAATAAATATTATTAAAGGATATATATATATATATATATAAATGCAATTTTCATTCCTTGATTTCAAATTATTCAAAATTCACTGTAATGTGTTTTATTCGCCAATGTCCAAAATTCATCCATGTGTTTTTATAAAAAGAAAAAGTTGAAAAAATGGGAATACTTCAGGTCATATTGGAAACATATATTCATTATTCAAACTTATTAACATTATTTTGTTTTCTAATTCTTTTTTTCTGTATGAACAATGTTATAGAAATCAATTACTAATGCATTTTTATAGTTTCATTGTTGAAGTAAAAGCGGAATCTTTAATGTTGATTTTACATCATAATTTGGTAAAATCGCCAGTGTTTTCAAGAGTCAATACCCCTATGACAGTTATGTGGCTCGGCGAAAGGATTAAACTTTCTAGAGAAAGCGCGGTTCCGTGAACGGCGCTTGCGTTACGTTCACGTGACGTCAACCAGTGTTCAGTTCGAGTCATAACGCGAAATTAGGAATGAGGAAGATATTTGTAAGATGAAATTAAAATTAGGATTACACAGATAAATGAGAATTACAGTTTCTCTATCAAAATATATTGCCAAGTTAAAACAATTATCGAAGAATTCGTTCCTTTTTCTCTTTTTAAAGGATCCATATTAGGTTTTTCAAGATCTAAAGGAATTTTCATAGTGCAGCGAATGAGTCACGGCGCAAGACCGCCGCGAGATTCGAGGTTTGTTCACGTTCCAATTTTCAATATGCTCCAACATGCCCTACCATAGCTTCTATTCGTTCCAACGGGTGTGTTAAAGTAAGGAGGAGCTTTGTGTGATAGAAGCATGTTGGAGCGTATTGGGGCATACGGCGCGAACAAAAAATCTTCGGAGATCCAATATACTTGTATTCATGCCACACAGTACTCAAAATCTTTACACGAACTATAAATTTACAGGACTGATAAAATGTTCGAACACACCCCCTCATCCCCCGTCCCGACCCTCCATTAAGATGGTGAGGCCAGGAGAGGCCGCCAGTGTGCGCTACAAGGCTGTTTTCTTCGCGGACCTCTCCGCGTCCCGTTCGCACACGAGCAAGCGTTCGAGCACGTTCGAGTATCGAGACGTCGAGTGTTGTCCCGCGCCGTCCCGCGCGCGACCCGAAGACTCGACCCGAGCACGACGCGACGGAACGATTGCAGTCGCTCGTCCAACTCGGTCGGTTGCTCAACCTCGCGCAATCCGACAACGTCCGTCCTCGCGCGAGCGCTCGTAGCGTACCGGCGACGAGTGGTGTATGAAAGTCCCGGTCGACTCGGCGCACCTTCTAGGAAATTCTTTCTCCGTTGAAAAGTCTAATTGTGGTGCAGTTTCTTTTTTTTTTTTTTTGAGACGCGGTTTTCGGTTGTGCAAGCGTGGTTCGGAGCGGTGAATCGTCGCGCGGTTTCGGCTTTGATCGACGCGTGAACGATGCCGGCGAGGGCAGTTCGGTCCGCATTGCGTGATTAATAAACCGTAACGGGAATTTTTAAGCCGCGACGAGAGAGGTGCACGTTGTAGGGGTATGTAAAACTCGTTCTTTGACTCCATGTTGTTTTGACAGCTTGAACCGAATCGGATCCCTATAGGTTCTCGTGTTCTCGCGCTCGAGTATTCTCCTCGAATATACGTATGTATGCACATGTAAATATTAAGTGCATGTTCGTGTTGTTCAGACACTGCTATTTGTCACTTATTTTTACCGCTACATTTATTTATATTTAAATGCGAGGGGAGAGACCTCGAGCGCGCGACACGATACAGTGATGCAGCGTTTGAATGAATCATCTGTTTTCAAAACCTACTATCCTCTGACTAATTCCATTCTCTCATAAAATGAAAGTAGTCGAAACAATTTGAGAAAAGCTAATTAAAAAGTTCTTATTTTTTATTTGCCTCATTGAATTTTTGCAAATATAAGATATTTTAAATACAAATGTATTTAACATTAAAAATAGTTACAAATATTCTTATTAACGAATATATACAAAGGTATTTATTTCATTTAAAGAAACGAAACTTTGGATGCATTTTTGGATTCATTTGATGCATGATGCGTATGATGTGTCATTTTATTTTTGCAGTGGAGATGGAAAATGAGGTTTTTTTGAGTTCATAAAAAAGTATCAAATAAAAAACAAGGTTTTTACGATAAAAAAAAAACAATTTTTTACCTAAAACGATATAAAATTCATGAAAAATAGGTAGAATAAAAAATTATGCTATATATATAAAAAAAATTCAACTTATTTTTCGTAATATGGTTAAAATGTTTAATATCCATGTTATTTTAATTTTTTATTTTTATAATTTTTATAATTAAGGCGAAAATATCTTCACGTTGTTACGCTGTCTAATGATATTCTTTTGAACTTTATCACTTTTAATAATTTTAATTATTTGGAAGACACACATTTAAAATTTTACTCTGATTTTATAAGTTAGGTAGGCAATGATTATTTTTATTAAAACAGATAATATTTTATTATCTGACACAGATTATATTTTATATTAACATTGTTTTTATATATATTTGTTCTAACTGTACGATTTCTAGATTTTAATTATTGATGCAAAGATCCTAATATATTGTAATATCGATTCAAGAATAATTGGAGCTAATCTGATAAACGTTATTTTACTAATTTATATATTTTAGAATATTTACAATTACAATAAATATACAACAAAGCAGCGTCAATTGTTATAATAAAATATCATTTGCGTTAAAATATTGCGACGTTTACTTCGTTTCTAAAATTGGAGTACAGTATAAGATATTGTCTGAATAATTATGAACGGTAATTATTTATGTTTATGACCACTGCCACTGCCACTTATTGTTAGTCATTGTACTACATTTTACTTTTGTGGCTATCTTCACAAAAGTCTTTTGAATAAATGCAAAAACCGAATTTTCGAACAATAATACAGCGTTAAAATTATTAAATACTCTGAAAAAATATATATACGAGTGAAAAAAGACTTGCGTAAAAACTAAGGAAAAAATTACTTTTTACTGAGTTGTTTTATTTAAAATTTTTAGGTTTTTTGTTCATTTGTATGTCTACTTTAAACATTTTTTATCTCTATTCTTCACTCATTTTATCTTTGTTGTTCGCTGAATGTTAATACTAAAAGTATCAACGTTTTTGCCAATATTTTTACGCACTAAAAGAATCAATGAATAAATTATTATGAAAATAAATTATTTTTATAAACAATCAAAAATTTTATTATTATAAAGAACACGTAAATTATTGGAAAGTAAACAATTTTCAGTATCTTATCCTTTACACAAAAAATATAATATTAATCTAAAATCATAAACACGATTAATAATGATCATTTGACGTTCTCAGTGTTAATAAATAAGGATAAAATTTTATTTAATATTACACGCATCATGTGTAAAATGGAATGCACCCTTTACATCTTATTTTTGCATGATTGAACTTTTATTAAAAATATTTGTTTTACTTAAAACGATAAAAAAAATGTGATCGACACATTTTCCTTCAAGTTTTGAAAACCCTGCATGTATGTTACATATTTATCGCAAAGTTGCAGTCGCACATAAAAAATATATTTAAACTCTTGCGAGATAAAGAGGCGTGAGCGAGGAGTATCGTGATTTTGTGTGATAAAATGTTATTTAAACGTTAATATGTAGGATAAGCACCTGGATTGAAATATTGGAGCAAGGGGGATTTTAAGAGCGGTATTTTTAGTCTATTCTTATTTTAAGACTGTCTTAAGTAACGTCTTAAGATGGTAACACGGCTTTCTGATTAATTCATAACAGCTTAAAACCGTACTTAAGACGGTTTTAAATATAAGAACTAACTATGAACCGGTCTAAATTTGGAGTTAATGTTATCCATGGCTTTTTGCATGTTGAGGGCTTTATTGTTATTTTCTGCGATTACTGTTGATGTTAACGGGGCATGTGGCTTTTGATTTGATTTCCTCCCGCATCGAACATCAAACGTGACTGCCATCGTCTCCTGTAATATCCCATCGTATCTGTACATGACGCGCGATTCTCGTGTTGGGCAAACAAAATTCCAAGGCTACATCATATTCCGCGGCAATCGCGTGATGAGAGAGAGAGAAGGGAGTGTATGTGTGTGTATGTGTCCTCTGTCTGCGCATTGTGTTCACCAGTTTCGAGCCCTTTGATCGATAAACCTCGTCCCCTCGCTTTGTGATCAACCTCGGGCTGATCTAATAGACTATTATATTTTAATGCCATTTTTAATATAGATTAATTTTAATCTCGATTTAATCATTTATTGTTAGAAGGCAAATGATTTTTATTCACTAATACTCGTTTCTACCAATGTAATTTAATTTTAATTTCTGTTTAACTAACTCATCATCTTTTTTCTAAAAATTGGAAAAAAAGATAAAGAGTAAGTGGAACTGTGATTAAATTTAATCCTTGATTTAATCTATATTGAGCAAAACGAGCATATAAGAGGATCAAGCGAATAAATTACTATTGAAATAGGAAAAGTGATAAGAAATCAAATATTTTATCAATATAAAAAAAAGTACATAATCATTGAATGGTTAAAAATTTCAGAATCTCATTTTTCACACAAGAAATATAATTTTAATCTAAAAAATTGAAAAACGATTAAAAAATTATGAATATTTCGTATTTCTAGTGTTAACGTATATTTTTTATCTGTCTCTAATTCAAAAAATTAGAAAAAGATCAGAAATGCGCTAAACCGCAATCAAAGTTAATCTCCATCGGTAGAAATAGACGTTATATGACATGCAATTACACCGAGTACGTCTTCTTTTGCATTTTTGTTTTCATTTATCTTTTCCCTCAAGAAACGGCATGAAGAAAACTCAGCTACGGCTGCACGCAACATAATTTTCCGCGATAAGATGTATGCGAATATTTATAAAGGTCTAGATTGGAACATCGATTGGGACTGAATTTATCGATTCGAAGGTCTAGAAACGTCTTACGCTAATTAAGTGGTTATTGATGTGGCGCGATTATGTGCAAATGCGATTTCTAAGCTACCGTTTGGCTCGCGCTTCGCTTTCCTTTTCATCGCCTGCGAATACGCTCATTGGCATGACACAACAGCGCGGATTCATTGCGAGAGAAATATATTTGAATGGGAAACGCGCGTGATTAAGTCGTCTCACTTTCAGTCCTGTCATCTTCGGAGTGAGTATGCGAGTTTAAGGGTGTTCACTGCAGAATTTTCCGATTGGATTGGGACAATACTTTAACGTGAAGCTAAACTTGTAACAGAAAACGCTCGGCTCGTTGTATTTTTGCTCGTCTACATTTTTTTAAATTTCAATTATTTTTTCGAACTTAAAACTTAGTATACAACACCATCATGATTTCCTTCTCTCTAAATCTTTTTTTAGAGTGAAATCTTACTTCAAAATATTGAAAATAGAGACAATTATTTTATAATATATGAACCAGATGCTCCTAATATTTTGAAAAAAAAAAAAAAAAAGAAATGCGCAGGATATGAATGACCCAATCGTGTGTATGTACTATCTCTAAATTTTTTAGAGTGGAATTTAATTTTAAAGAGTGAAAATTGAGTCAATCTTGAAAAAGAGTCACTCAATGTTCAATCTTTAAGAGTGAGATTTTATTCTTCAGAGTAAGATTCAATCTAAAAGTTTTAAAAAGAAGGATTAAATTATTTTTTTTAATGTTACTTTTAGTTCCAAACTTAAGTTATTTTAATGAAAGTATTATATGAAACAAGCTATTAATTAATAATATCTATTAATTAACAAATAGAAATGATCGAGGCTTTTTGAAATTAGCGAGCATTAAGAAACGTTGAAATTTACAACCTTGAAGTCCCGGATGTGTGTTTCCGAAGGCGCAACGAAACGCCGGAAGTAATACGGCGGACTTGTACGATCATTGGTGTGGAATATTCGTTTGCTTCCGGGAAACACCGCGTTCGCTTCGTCAAACTTGACCCACGATTGCTTTTACGTTGAATTTTCGGATGCGATTTAATTTTATCATTTGGTCTCTTTATCTTCAGTTTTCAGCTGGGCCGATTATCTCTTGGTTTGATTAAAAAAAAAAAACCAAATTGCAAAAGCAAAGACGAAACGAGACCGGGTGGACTAGAACTTATCTCTTTCTTCTACTGGGTGGGATAAAGGCTCTAGAAGCCTTTATACCTATCTTGGTATAAAGGCTCTAGAAGCTAGGACCCTCTCTTCCGTAACGACACCACACGCCGTGTGATAAACCACTGCAAACTCGTCGTTCCATCTGGGAGATCGTCCCCTGGGAGCCCTGTACCTCTACTTTTATCAACGCGGGGCGGGCGGTGATGCTTTTGTCTTCCCGACGGATTCGGGACTTAGCTGTGCGAAAATCGAGAGCTACATCGATGCCGAAGTCCGAGTGGAAATTTTGGAGGTCTCTTTTATCTTTATTTCCTACATGAGAGAGAGAGAGAGAGAGAGAGAGAGAGAGAGAGAGAGAATGAGAGAATGAGAGAAAGAGAAGAGTCCTGAAGGATTTATTTACACATACAATTACATTATATGTCCTCTTGTAATGCGAGGATCGAAAGAGGGCTGGTTGCACCAACGCGCAAAGTCAATTGACTATTCAACGATTGATTGGATTTTCCCAATTTACTTACATCTCAAGTAGAACAACGTATTTTCCTCTCACAATCAGATTAACCGTCAATTAATATGGACATTTTTAGTATACACGTGTTCTTTCAATTTAGAAGAATGTATTTGAAGATATACTGAATCAAGAAGATTGTCTTCTCTCTAAATTCTTTAGAATGGAATTTCACTCTGGAAAGTGAAAATTGAACCAATCTTGAAAAAGAGTGGCTCAATTTTCAATCTTTAAGAGTGAGATTTTATTCTTTAGAGATTCACTCTAAAAATTTTAGAGAATTGTTTTATCCGAAATCCAAAAAAAAAATGCCAGTCAATATTTAATTAACCAAGATTGTTGGTGCAACTCTCCCATAAACATCTCGTCAATACATCGACGATGCTGTCGTATTATAACCATGCGACTTTTTTCGAATGCGAACAACGAGAACAAGAGGTCGATTGTGTACCTTGAAATAGCCAATTTCAAAAAAAGTGACTCAATTTTCAATCTTTAAGAGTGAGATTTATTCTATAAATTTTAGCTTGGAGAGAATTTGTTCACTTTTGTATTTTTCACCTCTTTCAAGACACAATTGGTCCTCAGAATTGCGCCATCGTTATTAATGTAATGCTGCGCTGATCGAGTCTGCTATTCCACTAACTTTTCGCTCGGGAATCTAAGAATTCTGTCGATGTAAAGTACGTAAAGTGGCCTATATATCATAAATATCTTTGATATCTGCAATTCTAATTTAATAAATCGCTCTAATGTATTCACTTTATCGAAGGCTGATCTATAAGACGACTGCCTCTGGGAAATACCTCTATAAGCGCTGTATGTAATCTTCGAATACCATACGAGACAATGACGATCTAATTAATCCTCACTATGACAGTATTTATCCGTATTAAACAGTTCAATACTATCCTTTTACGTTAGTCTGAATTGTTGGTTTTAGTAAGAGTTAGCAAGTCTATCGATCGCTGGCATTTTGCATCTTACTATGCGTTTTATGCAACACTTATGTCATACGTCCTTTTCCAGTAGTAAGCGACAGTTACTAACGTGATATTGATTTAATATTAACAGTTCATGGCAATTAATGGCAAGCATCTATCTCTTAATAAATTATGTAACTCGTATACTTCCAAAGTAGATCTCTATAGTTTTTTAGACCGATAATCTGTTTCCTATAGCAAGTACGTTTATGTTGGCTAGTTGTTTGCTGTGTTTATATCAATGTCCTGTTCAGATACACTTTAGGCCAAAGTTTAGAAACACTTTAAAAATTGATAATCTTGGAATTAATTATTTAAATATCCAACGATTTTTAACAATAATTCTTTAGATCCAATAACATGTGTTACTAGATCTGAAGAATAATGATTTAAAAAATACATCGTTATAAATATTCAAATAAGTAATTTAAAAAGTGTTAATTTTCAAAAAATATTTCCAAACTTTTGGCCTGAAGAGAGAGAATATATTGCTAATAATTCTTTTATTTTAATTATCGCATTATTTTGTTACTTTACGCTCTAATATTATGCCTTTTATACACTTATAGATGAATGAAACAGCGACGGTTGCGAGATGTCTATATATTATGACGCAATTCTGACGTACACAAATACGCGCATGTAATTTTTCTCCCGATTGCGATTGGAAAAATCGTGGTGTACTGCATTGCGGTGTATGCAGGTTGCACCGCGAACGAGAGAAGTACGCGCGCCGTATTAGTAAGACCGTGTGGGTAGAGCACATGTATATGTGTGTGTATGTACGTGAAATAACATGAATCTTGCACATTCTTCGAGGACGGTTACGCAAACGGTTTCCATTGAAACGGCACTTGATGGTTGACACAGTGAACGAATATTTAATAATCACATATATTATTTACAATTAAATTTTGCAGATCCTTCGACGTCACACGATTCACTCGTCTCTAAACTTTCTGCTCTTAAATATCATTCTCTAGTTTTATCTCGCTGACGGCTTTCCCTCGAGGAAGGATTAAATGTGAACTAAACAACGTAATAATTAATAAACCGCTGTAATGCATTGTAATGTAATGCAATGAGCCAGTATGCATCACGGAAAGAACGATTTTGCTGAAGTATTAAAAAATTTCATTAGAGAGACAGATACAAATTTGCAAGTAATTTTGATTATTGGACCATCAAATTAATTATTACAGCATATCAAGTATGATAGATGATATTGCACAAATTTTGACGTTCTAGGAACTAGCCTTACAGAAATTTAATTTAATACTTGAGAAATGATTAATTACTTCTTTCGAGTACAAAAAGTACTGAACAGTAATGCTTTTAATACTTCAAGTATTACAATTTATCACTACTTCTTTGTATTGAATTTTTGTAAGGGTAGTTTGAGCGTCCTACGTAATTATTTTGATGGTTCAACAAAATTATTTTTACATGTTATATTTAAATATTTCACCAAAATTGTCCTTTCCGTGTACGGTTTCGATGGTCTCGTTTCCTCGCGTGTCTTCCACACGTTCGAAGTGGCGACACGTTATCGGTCTGCATTATCACCGTGTAATCTGGAACATCGTATTTTTCCGTTCACCTTACGCGCGTGACCTAGCCTGCTTACCAGCGCACTTGTCCCTTGTATCTCGAGTGTCAGAAATTGACGGGATATCCTCGCGTTTACAGAAAGTCTAAGAGGGCTGTTCTCGAAGAGAACGAGCAAGAAAGAAAGCGCAAGTGTTCGATACCGTCAGTCGTCGTGACGCAGGTCATTAGGCAGGACTACGATCAACCACCTGAACAGAAAATCCCGGAAGTCGAGGACGCTAGAAGAAAGACGATGGAGCATCCACTGAACAATCGGCTGTCGCCGAAGGTCACACCGATCACCGACGATTACGAGATTAGCAATCACGTCCTGGGTCTCGGGATCAACGGAAAGGTCGTGCAATGCTACGATAGAAACACGAGGCAGAAATACGCTCTTAAAGTAAGTTTCCGTTTTAATTCTCTCATATTATCTAATCCTCCGTTGGCCACGTAGAATTTCGAATTTTCTGTCGTCAACTTGAATTTTTGAACTTTAGTACAGATTTTTATATTGTTCTGAACTGTATTCAAATCTAAAAAATATATCCTTGCATTGCGAGGTTCTTGTAAAGATAAATAAGTGTCTATGATATATGACATTTTTTGTTCTCATTACATATAAGCTTTATTATATGTAATGAAGATTAACTGGTATTTCTGGGATCCAATTTTAATCATCAGAGCAGTATATCTGATTCAAGATTTTGGAGCACATATGTATGTATGCATGTGTGTCACCCGGCTGTTTTCAGTTGCGTATATGTCTTTGTATGTAATGTATACAATTTGATCAATTTTTTCTTCAATTGACGTGTCAAAGGTTCAAAAAGAATGAATAGAATGTAAAAGTCTAGAAATTGAAAATATTCGAAATATTTAGGAAAAAAAAGAGAAAGGAAAATATTAAAATTTGCGAGAAAAAGAATATATTTTTTTTTAATTTATAGTTTTAAGGGGAAAACTGTTAGAGAGATTTTTTCTCGAATTTTTCAGTTTGTAAATGCCTACAAAACTTTACGGTTTGTAAAAAAGCCTAGCGCTGTTTTATACAATTCGGCTGTAATCTAGAGCTCGTGTTAAGGATTAATATAATTAGCCCTTCTTTATTTACCAGAATTCACAATTAAAATATTACAATCGACTGTGTCTTCAAAATCTAATTTGGCGGACAGTCATATCTTCGAAGCAATGATAATCCAAGAATCTAAAATTAAGAGAAAGTTATATCAGTTCAAAGTCTACAAGATTAGGCTGAGCTGTTCCACTTTTAATAAACTTCAGCTTATTTTTTACTCTTTTATTCTTTTATTTATCTATTTATAAATAAATTATTATTATATGTATATCATTTATCCGAAGAGATGAAACAACCGGTTCTTAGACTAGTATTCATAGTCGATTCTTATATTTAAGATTGTCTTAAGTTAGTCTTAAGGTGTTACAAATCAATAACATAGGACTGCGTCTTAAGCAATTATTTAAGTCTTGAAATAAGAATAGACTATAAATATGGGTGTTAGATTTAGATAAGATTATTCGAATGACTCTGGCTTTAGGAATAAGTTGAAAGTAATACATATACATATATCTCAAAGATAATAAAACGTATAAGGATCGAGTGTTTCTTATCGGAAAGCAAGGAACAAGTCATTACGCATTGGCTTTACATCGTCCATCACGATACGTTTCACGCGTCCTCGGTTATTTTTAAGGCACGAGTGCGACGCACTGCTGCCGTGGATCTGTAAGTGTTAATCCATTGCGTTGACACCTCTTTGAAGGAATGCCGCGTATCGATACCTGCTCGGATCGACCGAGCGCGTTCAAACCGCGAGTCATCCTCTATTTATACTCCGATGATTTCCTCGATGGACGATGTCAGCGCCCCGGGGGGAAAATATTTCTCCCTTCGAAGGTGGCCTGCAGCTGATCTGCAAAAAAAAATTCATCCAACTTCGCGGAAACAATTTTTCTCAGAAAGTTGACGTTGAACGTGGGCATGTTCTCGCCTATCAAATCACAACTTCAATTCCGATCACGAAACAATCTAGAGAACAGCTGCAAGGGAAAGAATTTTGCTGAAATATCTAAAAAGTTAATTGAGTATATACTTATCTGTGAAAATAATTATGCAAGACGCTCAAACTGGTTGCTAGAATAAATTAAAATTTTTTGCATTGTCGTTTCTCAATGCTTAACTTTCGACCTTAAAGTTCTGTGTCTATGGTGCTAGAACTCGATCTGAGTTCTTGGATTTAAGAATATATAGCCAATCAACATCTAGTTTTTACGAAAAAACGATAAGTTGATTGACTGCACATTTTTCAATCCGAAAATTCGGACCGAGTTCTAATACCGTGAACTCGGATCATTTGGACCTAAAGCGAAAACTTTTAGATGATTATACAATCTGCGTATGATTGATACGAGATTCTCTAATTGATTTCTAAATTGTAAGTGAAAAAACTTTGAACCTTTTGCTATCAACCGCGCTGCAAGGCGAAGGTGTATTTACATTCTGTACTTCAAACAGGACGTTTTAAACTTTAATATATTGTAGTTTTCATAGCTATAACTGAGAGTTAAGAATTCTATAAAATTATTTTGATCATCCAACAAAATTATTTTTAGACTTGTGCAGCTAAAAACATTTTTTTTATACTTTCTAAATTCTTTAGAGTGGAATCTCACTCTAAAGTGACACAATTTTTAATCTTTAAAAGAGATTTTATTCTTCAGAGTAATAATTCATTCTAAATGTCTTAGAGAGTTAGCAAAATCGTTCTTTCCATGTAAGAAACGCACTATTGACTCCTAATAAAATTATTCAATATTGTTACCATGGATGGACCGTAATTGTAAGGAGCTTTAACTGTGATTTATGTCCCGTGTATCTCTCATTTGTTATGCGCACGCAGAATAGATAAGATTATTTTGCAGTCTCGTTGGCTTTACGATAGGAATTATTTTAGCAGCTAAAAGATGCGCAAACGCGATAAAATCTGAAATAGCTGTAATTATCTGGCCAAATTAGCTTGTTTGGGGAGCGTCCATATATTAACATATTGTCGCCCAATCGATATCCAATTATACCGTTATTATCTGAATGGTTTCATCCAATTTTCTGATAACACTTAATGTGATGAAGTGTTATACGTTTTACACAATGAAATTGCATATTTTGTAGCAACTTATATGACACGTTAAAACAACAGCTCTAAATGTTGTAAATATATTATATATGGAAGGAATGATTTTGTTGAAGCATTTAATTTGACTAGATACAGATCTGAAAATAATTTCGTTGAACTATTAAATAAATTATGTAGGATGCTCAAGCGCAATGCTGCAAAAAGTGTCGACATTTTACTTATAATTAGTAACTAGTTTGAACATTCTACATAATTATTTTGACGGTTTAATAAAATTATTTTCAAATTTAACTAATTTTTTAGATATTTTAACAAATTTTCTTTTTATTTTTTTTTAGATATAATAGGTATATATCTTAATTCTATAATCTCTCTATTCTATAAGTTCTCTAATCAACCGAATATTCCTTGAGAATAATTTTGTTTGTTTTTCATCTTTTCTTCGTGCATTTACCAAATTGCTGCCTTACTTTATTACAGTCCGTCTCGCTTCAACGAGCATTACGCGTTTTTAAATCAATGTGGGATCGTTCGCGAAAGATGCAATTTCTATGAGACCAGCGGTAAAAATAATTTGACGGCAGTTTAACGTGAAACGTTGATTTCGATTGCAGGCATATAGAATGCCGATGACCGATTACGAGCATCATGTGACGCTTGCATGATTGCCGCGGTAATTCCCTGTCGTCTTTTAGGATTGATGTAGAATATAACACATTGCCTACTTATCTGCCCAGTGAGTTTTATGTCCTTATATGTACGTCACAGTAGAATTTTCATTATCATAAGCATTGTATTCATTATCGTGATAAAATATTGTGTAATATGATTAAACAAGATTATTTCTTTATGAGTAGGACTTGGTAAAATAACTGTCACGATTTATTTAATATAAAAAATGTATATGTAATAATGTCCTAAAGATACTTATTTAAAATATCAAATAAAAATAAAGATCAAAAAAAGTTTTTTTAAAATGATAAATACTAAATAATTCAAGAGAGAGAGAGAGAGAGAGAGAGAACTTTTATTTTTTTAATTAAAAAATATATGTATTTTAATTTTAATTTATTTTAAATACGACTGAGCCTTATTTATGAGTAGATATAGTGCGTTTGAAATTGCGCATTTTTTATTTTCTTAGTTCACATTGTTATATACATATACATACATTTAGCTTTTTATATAATTCAAAATTTGATATTAAATGGCACTTATTCTTTATAAACGTTTTAACACTTCGACTGTTATCAACCATATCTCATGCACAATTTTCCGTTTATGGGTGACGATGTTATTTGCTCGATTAAAAATAATTTTACTGTGGGTGCGTTCGGGAAGTACGCTGTCAACGCTATTGTGTCATTACACCTTTATCGTTCATTAGACGTAAAACAAGGATAGAATGACGCAATGCACTGACAGCGTGTTTGCCGAACGCACCTTAGTAAAATTATTTTTAATCTGGTAAATAATACCGTCATCTACAAATGAATAACTTTCGCGGAAAATTACGCGAAATCAATGATGCGTTTCTCTCACTTTAAATATTTAAGACATTGAAAAAGCGATATAAATTATATTAAGAAATTAAAAAATCAATAATATTAACATAACATGTTAGATTTATTAAGTTAAATATATCGATATCAGCTTAACAGTTAAAAAAATTTCGTCAATCATCAGTAATTACAGTGATAATCTCAATATTGTCAATCTTATCTTTAAATTAATAATTTATTAATATAGTTTTATGTATAGTGCTCTTATACATAAAAAATAGGGTACTGTGTTTTGTAAGAGATCTTATACATACCTACATATTCTTTTTCTCGAGAAAAATTTCGGAAGTTTGCTTTTTTTAAATTTGAGGCGTTTGGTTTTTTTACGCAAAGTTTGATAGAGAACTGTTTTTTCCAGGGAGAGAGTCTAAAGGTCAGTAGTATGAAACACTTCGTCTTTTCGCGACCGCCCATAAAAACTCTGCTCTCGTCATGAGAAGGTATCGCGCCGCGGCTTCTCGGATTTGTTAGAAAAATAATCAGAGTGTCCTCACGTGAAAAATTTCAGCGGTACGTTCGCAGTACCAAGAATTTACAGCAGAGATAATTTTTCGCAGCGTCGCGTAGGACGCTGTAGTTTTCAGTAATTCTTAGCGTTGACTGTATAAACACTTATCTCTCGCGTTTATGGTAAGTGTTCTTATTTTGAGGGAGACATGAGAGAAACATGGGAATCTCTTAATAGC